CTGAAAGATTCAAACATGGATTTACTGTTTTTGCTCCAACTGGTTGGCAAAATACCAGCTGATGCAGAGCATGTGCAATAGCATAAACTGCTTTATAGACATTATAGGTCACTCTGAGCTCTGTGACATTGAAGAAAACATGCTCAGAATTCATTAATGTTTCATTGCCTGTACATCTTTTGGTTGTGTCCTCAGTATCTGCATGTACCCCTGGCAAAACAGGTGTGCAGCCCACCATTATCTGCCAGAACTCCTTCACAAAAGGTGCATGTGGATCTTTATAAGGACTATTACTTGTAAGAAAGTGTTTAAGTTTAGGAATAGCCATCTTCTGCATTACAAATCCCAGGGCGCCACCAAAAGCTGTGTATATTTCAGGTGTGGAGGGCTGAGGTGCTGTTATCCAAGCCTCACTACCAAGCCACTGGATCCCTGTAATGTTTTGTTTTACTACTTCCTTCATCAAAGGAGAAAAGTCACCCTCAGGAGCAAAAGCTAGAATTACTTTGACAGTTGACTGTTTAATCATTTCTACAGTGTCTAGAATTTTATCCCTTGTATATGTACGTAGAACTGACCCAACAAAAGCAATGCAAACCCCAAGCTTTTCAACCTCCTGCTTAAAAGCAAGAATTGCATTACGTCCATAATCATTATCTGACTGTATGGCTCCAATCCACTGCCATCCAAAATGTTTGACCAGTGCAGCCAATGCCTTTGCCTGGAAGTAGTCGCTGGGGATTGTTCTAAAAAATGTAGGATATTTAGTTCTGTCACTCAGACAAGCACACGTTGAGAAGTAACTTATCTGTAGTGGAAGAAAAAAGCAACACCAACAAAATGTGATGAAAATATTCTAAGAAATTGCCTAATAAAGCATAACAAAGCCTTAACATCGCTTAATAAACAACTTTATCTCTTACTATTGGCACTTGAAATGGTCCAAGAGTTCCAGCGACAGCTAAGGACTGAGATGATCCTGCCTCTGCTATGACTGAAGATATTGTTGGAGAACAAGCAGTAGCTTTTATCCCCTGTGGTCTGCTAGCTAGTGTTAGTGCAGCACGTAAAGTGTTAGTAGGAGATGAGCATGAGTTAAGGATCCTATAACCAAGAGATATATTTGGAAGGAAAGCAGGATCATTGTTTATTTCTGCAACAGCAAACATCATCGCCTGTGTCCATCGAAAAGCTCGTAGGTCAAACCTAAAATGTGTCATTACAAAAAATCACAATTATAGAATTGCTGCTGAACAATTCTATGTAACATAACATTAAAGATGCAAGCGTAAAGAAGCATGTATGGAGAAGTCTAATGTATCAAGACTTACACTGCACAATTCACTCCAGGAGGCTCACTCTCAAAAGTATAAGTGCTGCTGACCTCTTTGTTAAAAACTGGAAAAATCCCACCGATCATTATGTCACCCTGCTCAAACAAACTTGGCATGTTAAATTTGCCAAGCAGCTCACAGCCAGAAACTATGCTCAAGTACTGTATGGAAAGAAAAACAAAAACAGTTCTCTGCATGTTTACACTGCACTTCTAAAATCAAATGAGGCTAGAGCTTTTATAATGAGCTGGACAAAGGCAAATATCCCAAGGCAGCAATCTGAGCACAACAAGAAAAGGTGACTGCTCAAAAGAAGGTTCACATATCCAGTGCTGCATGTAACGTAACAGACATGTCCACATGTAATCAATTCCCTACAGATAAAGCAGTTTATTCAACACACTGATAATTCAAAGAGTGTCAAATGCAAATAATGTACTGAATAGTAACTAAGTATCTATTCAATTTTATTCAGTTTCATTTATACAGTGCTAAATCACAACAACAGTCACCTCATGGCACTTTGTATTATAAGGTAGACCCTACAATAATAATTGTAGGGTCTATTGTAGGGATATCTGCAATGTCTTAAACTGAAGCAATTTCCCCACGGGGATTAATAAAGTATACATTATATTACCTGAACATCTCAGATCATCATTTTACATGAAACTGGGATTATCTGAGGTTAAAGTTATTAATAATTGTTTCAATTTTGCAGGTTGTGCTTAACAAAGGATAGACTATGTCTTCACCAATGTTCCCTCTAAGCTGTGCCAGCAGTGCGCAATTGCGCACTGCTGGCATGGTCTCTGCTCACAGAAAATCTGTGTTGCGCACAGAAAAAAATCTAACCTGAATTGAAATTAAAATTAATACTTTAACAATTCTGTTTTGCAGTGTTAGTCAGTGAGTGACTGGCTGCTCCCGTATGGGATTAGAACGATGCCCCCCAATCCCATAGTCCAGCCAATAATGCGATTCACATTCGTATATACGTAGCTAATCAACGTCGTTGACAGGCTATGACAGCGCCCTTACGTGCCGACACCAGTGTTTTAGCTAGCAAACTGTCGTGGCTGATGTGGAGTGAAGCCACGTTAATGACAACGTGTACAACCATTGGAGATGTGAGCAGGACAGACGGAACAATTGACGGAAAAAGTGTGGACTTTGTACCAGTTTTTAAATTGTGTTGATAGGCCACGTAAAACCAGAGTTGTGATAAAAATATATGCAATGTTTGGTTTTCTTCCTGAATACTATCATTGTTTATATTTACTGCGGGAAGAAATGGTAAAAACGGCGTTTTATAAGGAAAACGCTCAAAAGCACTCTCTGCCTGTGAGCAAAGACAAAATTAAAAACCCCACCCATTCCTATTCGTCGAAAAAAGTACCATGTCGACCAATCAAAAAATGATATGGCAACATGGCATTTAGTTGTTTAGGAAGGGGGGAAGTTTTAGGAGTGACGGCGGTGTTTTGAGATGTGAGAGATTTTCGACGTTTAGCATAAATCTTGTGTAGTTAGTGTGTAGTGTAGTCAATAGTTTTGCTGTGTGTGTCAGAACAATGAGGCCATTGCTGAATGTTACAGGTTTTACAGGAGTGATAGATCTCCTGTTGTCAGGCCTGCAGGTATCAGGCTGTTGTTCTCCTTTATCTCATAGTGGACAGAAATTATTTTTTGGAGTGGCACAAATAATTTATGTGGCATCAAATTTAATGCAGAACAGCTGATTGTTCTGTAAATAGTTTGAAATGTTTATTTAAAAAAACGCCTTGGCTGCATTTTTAGGTAAACAGCTGCAAAAAACTTTGTTGTTTGCATAACTCAGTTACTCTTTTAAAGAAGTAACCATATAATTAATTGCCCAGCACTGGTCATTATATACTGTATTTTGCAGACAGAGAGTTACAGGACTCTCTCCCAGACCACAGACTCATACTCATAATACAAGTCAGAGCTTTATTAAGAAAGAAAGAAAGAAAGAAAGAAAGAAAGAAAGAAAGAAAGAAAGAAAGAAAGAAAGAAATTTGTGTTTTCAAAATTGGAGTTCAAGTTGTTTTTACTTCCAATAGTGTTAACATACTACACAGGTCATGAACAAGATTTTCTTTTTTAATTTTCATTGTAAGTGGGATAAAGCAGTTAATTAAAAGTAGTCTAACATAAATGTAAATGCTGTAATTTGATTATCTTAATAAACCATGGATGGAGTCGATGCTGGCGTGACCACAGTGCTCTCGTCTAATGTTGCTCACAGTGGTCCAAGGGACCGCTTAGGGAGTTTGTGTGTTCGCTCCGACACATGAAAAATTAGACGGAACATTGGTCTTTACTAAAACAAAGTAAAGTTTTTAGGAATTTAACTATTTTTATTGCTTTGAAAATATAGCCAAATTATTTATATAGCCAAATCTCAACAACAATTCTACTAAATACATACAAAAAGCATGTCACGCCTTCAATATGAAATGCAATTCAAAATCTCACTAAGCAGTGCTAGCTCTATTTGCCTGAAAATGTGAAGGGAGCAGTTAAAATCCCAACCTGATTTAGATGTAGCTAATTTTAGTAACATAGTATAAGACGTCTGTGCTGAGTATGGCCTAGAGTCCCGAGGTCAGAATGGGAGACAATCCCAAGGGTGGTTGAGAATGACCGAACTAAGTTCGTGTGGGACTTCCAGATACAGACAGATAAGATGGTGGTGACTAACCAACCGGATGTTGTAGTGGTAGACAAGCAGAAGAAGACGGCCGTAGTGCTAGACATAGCGATACCGAACAACATCCGAGATCTCTGTCCAGAAGAGTTCAGTCCTAGGAACAGCTAAGATACTGTGCAGGACCCTCAAGCTCCCAGGCCTCTGGCAGAGGACCTGAGCTTAAAGGAGAGACTGCCCACAGGGGCGAGAGTGGAATATGTATAATATATATATTATGATACTTCATAACTTCGTAAAGTAATATATATAATATAATTAATTACTTTTCAAGTAACACTAGTACGCCCCAGAACTGCACAAGGGGGTAATTCTGCCCTGCAATAATGGGATTTTTAAGTAAGATTTGACAAAACAAGTAGAATTTTTAGGCAGTTTATTTGTTTTTAAAGATGATTTAGATATTTTCTTTGCAGGCTGTAAAGTTAAAATACAGAAGAATGTGCCAATAAACAAAGGGTAACAAATAGCTAAAGAAAACAAACCGCTAAACCATCTAAATTATTACATTCTCACTGAAAAAGAACATAATGAAAAAAAAGAAAGAACATTGGAAAAAGCTTCTCTGGTAAATGGTAAATGGCCTGTATTTGTATAGTGCTTTAGTTATTCCCTAAGGACCCCAAAGCGCTTTACACTATATTCAGTCATTCACCCATTCACACACACATTCACACACTCTGTGTGAAAATGTATCAAAGAAGGTTTGAAACATATTACAAATGAAGCTTGTGTCAAATATATGTAGTAGTTAAGTTCGAATTTTATATTCCTTTACTCAACAGCCTCCCGGATAAACAGAAAAGAGGAAAAAAACCTTTAATCTATGTTTTCAGTTTATTCAGCATCTCACAGCTAAAAAAATTAAAACAGACTACACAGATACAGTGAAATTATTTCTATGATTCATACACCAGGACCAAATAAATTACAAATTACATCGTTCTTAGTGGTATTTTTCCCATCAAATGCTTTTTAGAATTTTGTTCTGGCCTAAATATGATTATATAACATTTTGGAACAAAAATGCACACCAACAAACCAAAACTTGATGCCAGAATGGCAAATATTTCCACAGCTACAGTGAATTTCCCTGGAGAGCTGACATATGCAGGGATAAATGTGATCCATACTGCACAGAATATCAGCATACTGAAAGTGATCAGTTTGGCCTCATTAAAGCTATCTGGCAGTTTTCTAGCAAGAAAAGCAAGTATAAAACACAAGATAGCAAGAAGTCCAATATAACCCAGGACAGCCCAGAATCCAACAGCTGAACCCAGAGCACACTCTAAGATGATCTTTTCTTTATAGTAGTCAATGTTCATGTTTGGGAATGGGGGGTTTATTGTTAGCCAAAGTATACATATCATAACCTGAATCAGAGTAAATATCAGAACAGTGAGCCTCTGTTGTACAGGCCCAAACCACTTCATGACATTACTGCTTGGAAGTGTAGCTCTGAAGGCCATTAAAACCACTATTGTTTTCCCCAGAACGCAAGAGATACAGAGAACGAAGGTAATGCCAAATGCTGTGTGTCGTAGCATGCAGGACCACTCGGAGGGACGCCCGATGAACGTCAGAGAACACAGGAAACACAGTTTCAGTGAGAATAACAGCAGGAAGCTCAGCTCAGAGTTGTTTGCTCTTACAACAGGAGTCTCTTTATGAGTCAAAAATATTACTGATATCATTAGTGCTAAAAACACACCAATACAACTAAATGCAGTTAAAAGTGCCCCCATGATCTCTTTGTAGGAAAGGTATTCAGTAGGTTTTGGAAGACACTTGTCTCTGTTTTCATTTGGCCAAAATTCAGGTGGACAGAGCAAACAGTCAGGAGAATCTGTGACAGATGTAAATGACAGAAAATATAAGTATAGTATATCCAAGATATATAATCAATTGAAACATTCGGTGGTTCAAATATTTAAATGTTTTTGATATATATTCATTCAGGACACTAGAACTGATTTTAAATAGGTATCCTTACTCACTTGTCTGATTACTAATTGTTCCCTCGGGGCATTTAAAGCAGTCAAAGCAGCAAACAGGCTTATTCTTGTTTATAGCCTTTCGAGTCCCTGGCAGACATGGTTCTCTGCAGACAGACCTGGGAACCTGATTCGGCAAAATTCAACATGTTAAAACTCAATACTGAAACACAAAATATGTTTTCTTAATAACATTAAAATGTTTCTAAAACTGCTGTGAAGAAAAGATTATTTTTAAATCTATGAAATGTCCATAGTGTTGAGGGAAATTACCTCACTACTGTTTCCTCCCCAAACTATGATGACATCTTCTTTTAGTCTGAATCTTTCCTCCTTTGGAAAAGAGGCATCATATTGACCAATAATACTAATTTCAGCAGAGCCGTCCTCTTTCATCTGCCAGTTTACTAAGTCATAGAGGGCAACTGATTGCCCATATTCATCAAATAAAACCCTGACCCCATTCTTAGTTGTGAAGTTCACATACTTAATGTGTTCGAGCACCTACAGAAAGACAATTAGCACATTTTGTCATATATAAAATCATTAAATAGTCAGAATTTAACAGAAAACAAACAGAAAACAACAATAAATTTAATGATTAGAGACAAAGATCAAATAATTTCGATATATTAGGACTTACCAACTTAGGTTGAACCTCATTTTTGTTCACACAAAGCTTCCCTGTTGTAGGATTTGAGCCATTCTGACATTGCAGTAGAGTGTGTAGGGCATATGCTACTGAATACACCGCTTTATATACATTATTCTCTTCCCTGAAATATGCCACATCTGTGTAATCATTTGAGACTGTTCGCAGGTCCTCTGCACCAGTACACATAGTAGAAGTGTTTGATGGAGAGTAGCTGCAGTCAAAGAATTCCTCCCAGAAAGCTTTAATTAATGCACTCTGTGGCTCATCAGAAGGCTTCAAACCAAGTAAGAATTCTCCAAGACCTGGTATGGATGCGTGAGGGAGCGCAAAGCCCATTGCCCCATGTAAAATGTGCTTTCTGTCAGCAGAAGCCAGGTCTGGTTGCATTATCCATGACTCTGTGCCAATCCACTGCTTTCCAGTTATTTTATAAGTTTCAATTTCTGACAGGAATGATTTGGCATAAGACAAGGACATAAACAAGAGGACCACATTTGATGAGGACTCCAGTAGTGTGTCTAGAATAACACTGAAAAGTTTTTTGCTTGTTTGTGAGTAGGGCAGACTGTATTCAATACATATGCCTTCTTTCTTTGCTTCCTTAACAAAGTCAGCTGTACCATCCTCTGAGTACATGCCTATTGAATAAATAACTCCCACCCAGCGCCAGTCAAAATATTTCATAAGCTGTGCTAGACCACTGATTTGGTAGCGGTCACTTGGCACTGTTCTGAAGAAGGTGGGGTAAAGTCTTCTGTCACTTAAGCAAGCACAGGTTGAAAGGTGACTCACCTTCAAAAAAAAAAAAGCAAACACAACAATCCTTTTTATGTTTTAAAGATAGACAAACTCAATAAACAGTATTCAAAAGTTATCCCTCCCAGTCATTTCTGCTCACCTGTGGAACTGATAGTGAACTTAATATGAAGTTTATGTCTCCACTTACTCCTGATGAAGAATGGCCAACTAGAGCCTGGACCTGATCACTGCAGCTTTTTGAATTCTCTCCACTTATAGCCTCTACAGCTGCCCGTATTAGGTTTTCACTCCCGCAGCCATTATACACCCTATAACTCAGACTCACTCCAGGAAGCAGTATAGCATCTCTATTGATCTCCTCCACAGTAAAAATCATTGTCCTGGCAAATTTCAGTTCCCTGTCATTCCGTCTGTAAAGAAAGTGTCAACTGTTGATGCTATACACATAAAAAAAATATTTCACATTATCATAATGCACTATATCAGAAAGACATGAAGTATTCTACTAGCATAACATACAGCTGTTATTTATTTATTTTAATCATATTCACTTACTTTGTGCAGTATGTGTATGGAAGTGCTTGGTAGTTATTATCTATAAGTGTCCTTGTACTAGACATAGAGAAAAGTCCTCCTATAATTAAATCACCTTCTTTAGAAAACTCCATGAATCCTGTCTGTCCAATCAGTCTGCATGTATGGTTGTCAGACTTTATCCTTGCCAGCAGAGTGAATAAAATCAAAGTGATCATACTCATCATGAGCTGCCCTCCCCTTCACTGAAGTAGTTGTGTGCTCGGAGCTGACCTTTATAGTTTTTCTTCAATCATCAGAGAAATGTCTCCATCGATTGTGAGCACTTTCCCCATTCTCAAAAGATTATTTTGTTATTTTGCATCACTGAAACTACTTCTATCTCTACTTCTGCTATTTGACTTGTAAAAGACAAGCAATTAAAATGTTCTTTGAGAATCTAAACAATACTTCATGGTATATTGGTTTAATATTAACTCTATATTATGTGTGATATTCTGAAGTACATTTGATTATGTAATCTAATCAGTATTTCATTTTTTTAACTGGCCAGATATTCTATCTGTTTATTATTGTTTCTGGCATCAAATTGTGCTTTTTTCTTATCTGATGATGGTGCTTTGTTTATATACAAACAACAATATTTGTATTCATGTGAAAAAAAATGGAATTGTGTTTAAAAAAACATAAAAGCAATACTTCTTGGACCAATATTAATGGGACGTGCTCTACGCACTCTTCTGAGTAATGTTTCGTTCCACAAGGAGCAAACAGGCAAAAAAAAAAGAACAGGAAAATGGCGTACAAGAGGACACAGATGGATGCTTTTATTATACATCTTTGATCTGCATTAATACAAATGTTCATTTTGTTTTCACATTTCATATGACAGCTGTAGTGGAGAGAGATGGATGCTTGAAAATGACCTTCATATTAACCTATTGATCTTGACAATTAAGAGATACTTTGTTGGAATCCTAGAATTCTGGTGGCAGGTGACCAGTTGCACATGAAAAAGGACACTCAAGAAACTGACTTTTGTTAGGATGGATTGTCGCAAACTTGAAAGGGAAACTAACACACAGCACAAAGTAGCTAATAGTTCTATCTGCCTTAACACACCCCAGGATCTCAGTGCTGATCCATCAGTTCCCTCAATAAGTAGGTCTTTTGACATGTGTTTCATGTTATTATTGAGGAGAAAAATACTAAAGGTCAGCCAGATGAGCAACACAGCAACAAGTTGGGCATTTAATCGATAGCGTGTTGAAAAAAACAATTTCATGACAGGATGAGCTGCCTTGAAGATAATTAATACATGAAAAGTTCTCCCCACTACACAGGTCAAGCATGCAAGTATTATATACCACTGAGATGGCTGGTAGATGTTGACTGATGCAGAAAAGTTGCAGTTATGATGCAGGCTGTCTCTGTTTGATGACATTTCTATTCTTGTCATGTGCATTGCAAACAGCAACAGAGCTGCCTGAAAAATTTTGCCCACCCATTTACTGGAATCTGTTGGCTGCACAATTTTGCCCATGTAAACAGTAACTCTGACGCCATCTGTATGAAAAGAAAGTTACGCTTTTTTATACAACTGTTCAGGCACGGTATTAAAGAACTTGTGTATTTATTTGTTTATTACCTGCTGGTGTTAGAAACACTTCTTTTGGGTAGTGTGTTGAATAGACCTTGGATGACATCTGCTGATGAAATAAAAAAAATAATCTGTTATTGGATCGTCATCATAGACAAAACAAATGGAGATGGACAAAACGAAAATCTCAAAACACACAATTTGACATATTAATTGCACACATATCTTATTGCAGCTAATCTTGACATAAGCTCTTCAGTTTTTCAAAGGATTCTTGGCTCATTTTGTTGTCAGCAACATTAAAATATTAACACACTGTGGAATTTGGGGTCTTTATATACAGGAACGAGAATGAGTTTGCCCTTAAAGTACACATTACAGATGCATATACAATCCATTTTTTTTCTGGTGGTACACCAGGACAAGAGTAATAATGTGGGTTCAATGTGCCAGAGATCTCAGAAGAACAGATGGGCTGGTATTTCTGTAATTTAAATGTATCCTTTAATGATTAGAATATATCTGGATGAAGGCTAATTACAGATAATACATAGGATTACAATTTGTATTGAATTGGCATGAGCAAAAATGTTTCAGTGCTCTAAATTCACATCTCATTTTTTATACAGTAGGATTCATTTTATTTTTCTATCATAAATCCGGCAGTTACCTGTGTCATGTGGGGAACACAGTTGGTCTTGGACAGCAAATATACCAAGAACTGTAGAATTCTACATTTATGTACATGCTTGCTTCCCTTATCTTCATTCACAGTGTACTTATATTCTTGAAGCAGGTGTACACACCCATTGGAGACCATGCAGTTCAAAGGCAGATCCACAAAAACTGTATAGTCTGTTTTGATCCTCTCTTGTGTGAAAATATTATTAGAGCCAACAGTAATTTCAGAAGTCCTAAAAAAATGAGAAAAGAATTATAAACATTTTTAAATAGCATTTTAGAAGTCTTCATGAATTCATTACACTTATTTACAGTCAAATTGCTTGAATTTCCATTTATTCATTATTTGTAGGCACATAAAAATGACTTAATTTCATTTAAATAAGATGGAAGGATAAAATTATGGTAAACCATTTTTAAATATGAAATGCAAAACTAAAAAAAGTATCATAACACAGCACTGAGCCTGTTACTTTGCCTATAATTACAGTAATATACTAATGACTTGAAATTGTAACATATTTGAAATCAAAACATATTATCATTTATGGTATTTAGACTCCCAAATTTCTGGGAAAACCACACCGGCTAACCATGTACACACAGATCACCAGTCAGGTTGTAATTTACTCACCTGTAACATGTCTGTATTAGTTTTGTGCTGTCATTGTCATGAATGGAAACATTTTTACACAATGCTGCAAAGGCCTTTGTTTCTTCATAATGCTCATGCAGGTCCAGGTTGCGCCATGTCTCACATGACAACACCCAAATGAACAGTGTTAGGAAAACAAATGTGACTGTTGTCATCTCAGAGCCTTGCCTTTGGCATGCATGCTTCTTAGAGGGACGTGTTTTATAGCTTCTTCTCTGTAGCAAAAAAAAAGTGTAGCCAAAACAATGGGCCACTCTCATTGGTACATGGAATAACTGTTGTTGCTGTTGTAATCTTTTTTTTTTTAATTAGGAATATCAGCTATAACACATGTGTCCGGTTTCCTAAAAATGTTTACTAAAAAATGTCTTCGACTGTTTACTGAGACCAACACAATAAGGGCCTGTAAGTTTTTACAGCTGTTCCTGTAAATCAGCTCTTATATCCATCCACTTTCTTCATTGCTCACTCAGTTTGGAGTGACAGGAATTTTGGATCTATCACAGCTGTAATAGGGTGAAAGGCAGAGGACACCCTCAGTTGTTTGCCAGTCTATGGCAGGGCTAACACAAAGAGACAGACAGCTATTCACACTCACATCTATGTCAAATACAGGAGTCTTTAGACAATTTGAGGAAGTTGGAACACCCAGAAAGAAACCTCACAAGCCCAGGAAAACTATGCAAACTCCACACAGAAAGACATCAGCCAGTCAGTATACTGAAACCCAGGACCTTCACCACTGGACAACAACAACAACAACAACAATAATAATAATAATAATAATAATAATAATAATAATAATAATAATGATGATGATGATAACCAAAATAATAATAACAATTTTATTAATATATATAATTTGTTTGTTAATAGAGTAGAATATGTTGAAGTTCTTTTATTAGGAATGTGTTCTAGGAAACACAGTTGCTAAAATCATTATTAAATATGGTTACAGATTAGTCATTAATGATTATTAGCTTATATAAAATATTGTCTATAAATTAATAATGACAAAAAATAGGTTTGATTTTTAGCAAGAGTATCAATTACTCCTTAAGAGTTTTGTCTTGAAGGCCATTAAATCAATTATTGTTTTCAATAAAGAATATAAATGTGATTCGAATTTTTGTGTATGGCACCATGCAGGAAGCTCAGCAGAGGTCTTGGTCACTACTTGATCAGGCCTATTAATGATGTTAAATAGATCGACGGGAGCTCTGCACAAAAAAAAGTAGTTTCTGCCTTCAAGAATGCAAGTCTCTATATTTATTAGTATTTTCTCACAATTAGCTAGTAATCAGTCTGACAGTTGAAAATCCCCACCAAGCCAACCTATTTTTAGAAAGAGACAAAATTTACTGATAAATTAATATGCTAATAAGGAAAAAGACAAAGCATATTATAGATATAGCAAAGGCCAAAATTTAATTTGGAATGTTCTTAATGTTTGTTGTGCACAAAGAATGTTGTCATAAAAGCAATCATGTATTACCTTCAACAGTCCCTGGAATGGAGGGCAACCATGGCTGTAAAGTAAATGGTAAAATGGTAAATGGCCTGTATTTGTATAGCGCTTTACTAGTCCCTAAGGACCCCAAAGCGCTTTACACGTTCAGTCATTCACCCATTCACACACTGGTGATGGCAAGCTACACAGCCACCCTGGCGCACTGACAGAGGCAAGGTTGCCGGACACTGGCGCCACCGGGCCCTCTGACCACCACCAGTAGGCAACGGGTGAAGTGTCTTGCCCAAGGACACAACGACCGAGACTGTCCAAGCCGGGGCTCGAACCGGCAACCTTCCGATTACAAGGCGAACTCCCAACTCTTGAGCCACGATTGCTCAAGAAGTAACACAGGAACAGTGTGCATGACAATATGGAAGAGTTATATGTACTTTAAACTGTGCTTAAATATTTGCTTCATGTTACTATGGTGGATGTGGAAGTTCTGCGCACATGTGGAAGTTCTGCGCACATTTTTTCTGATACCTGACAATTTTTTTTTTTGAGAACTGAGACCTGAAAATTTTTTGTCTGATACCTGACAATTTTTTTTGAGAACTGAGACCTGACAATTTTTTGTCTGATACCTGACAACTTTTTTTTTTTTTGAGAAATGAGACCTGACAATTTTTTGTCTGATACCTGACAATTTTTTTTTTTGAGAACTGAGACCTGACAATTTTTTGTCTGATACCTGACAACTTTTTTCTTGAGACCTGACGATGTCCTAAAATGTACACCGTACTGAAGACCCCAAAATTTAAAGTGACATTTTAATTTAAAGAGACACCTGCTGCTTAAAAATGCATGATCTGCACGATCCTTGAACGTATGTGAGTTAAATGTATGCGTTCATGCCTTGCTAAATCTCCATCTTTGGAGATCAAAAATGTCTGCAAAAATATAAAGAAATAAAGAGATTCCGAGGGCCCTTTGGTAAAATTATCATGGGACTGAGTTTGTTTCAAAGGAATATAGAAACTACTGCCCATTCTAGGGTTGTGACCGA